TCCAGAAACATCTCATAATCAGACTTTTATTTTTTTTAACACATCAAACAATCCGACTAGCCCCAGCAGCGAGGCACAGCGCTGGTGTGGGCTGGGCACAGACACTCCTGTCCTGCTGCTGGTGGTTTCTGCCTGTCCCGTATGCGCCACCCCCAAAGGAGGGTTGGCTGCCTTTGTGCTGCTCCTTTTCCAACCCTACCCCGTCCTCTGGTTTGCTCTGCTTCATTCCCCTCTGCTTCATGCTTCTCTTCCATTCTCTCTTCCTCCCTGTCCCTCTCCTGTGCAGGAGGGAGGCATGCCCTGCCTGCTGTGGGGCTGGGGGGTTAGCTCAGGGCTGGGAAGGGGTTGCACTGCTTGGGCAGAGAATCACCCCCAGAGAGCTGGGCTTAGATCCCCCCACCACATCTTTCCTCCTCTCTAATCTCATCCTTCCATGTTTCATTGCAGGGCCATTATCATCCGTAATGGGGAAATCATTCCAATGTCCAGGGAGTTTACTCCAGAGACAGAGAGGCAGAGGCTGCAGTTTTTAGTAAGAAAGACCTTTCTTCTAACCTCATTCTGTCCATCTTGTCCCGCTCCTGCCCGGGGAACCAGGAGCACCTCCTGCCTGGGCTGGGGGTCTGCCTGCTGCTGCGGGAGCACCGGGATGGCTGGTTCTGCTCCCTCCACCCATCGTGCTCCCGGAGCCATGGTGCTCACGCCGAGTCCTAGTTTCTTCCCCAGCAGCTCCCTGGGGAAGCAGGGAGCTGACGTGTGCTGGCGGGTTTGTAGCCTTCCTGAAAGCTCCCTTTCCTGCTTGGATACCCCACCCCGAGCCACACAGGGAGACTTTTTAAGGTTACGAAGACCTTTGTGATGGCAGCACAGAGGAGGCGGTTGTGTTGGAGGAGGTCTTTCTGGATGCAATTTCCTGGCTTGGAAAAACACTGAGGTGTTTTTTCTTTCTTGAGTCTATTTTTGAATGACCAGAAGGAGGAAGCCGCAGCTGTGACGGGGATCCTCTCCACCGGCTGTGATGGGCAGAGTGCAGGCAGGGGCCAGGCGCACGCTTGCTCTGCTGCACGGCGACTGCCCTGTGCTGAGCCTGGGGCCCTGGGAGGTTTGCATCTAACTCCTCCTGTGGGCAGATTCCAGCTTCTCCTGGACTTTGCTGGGGTTTGATCCCTTTTGGGCCCCTTATTTCCCAAAACTCTCCATGGGAAAGCTTCACCTTGCTGGGTGTTGGCATGACTCCAGCTCATCTCCCCTCCGGGCATCGCACAGAGGGGTGGTTTGAAGCTGCTTTGCTCATCGAGTTGCAGATGTTCTCCCCACCACGAAACGCTGTAGCTGAGGTCCCAGAGAGCCTGGCAGGTCCTGTGCCACGATGGTGGTGCCCAGTGAGGTGCTGCAGGCAGTGCCAGCCTGGGCAGATCCTGCTCTGCCAACCCCACGGCTGAGCCGGTGCTTCTTCCCGCAGGCGTTCCTGAGGCCCGAGCTGCTGGGAAAGGAGTTCACGCACCTTGAGTTCCCCCGCAGGATCCAGCCCAAGGAGCTGGGGAAGAAGATGCTGTACAGAGACCAAAACATGAATGGCTGGTAACCCCCTGGCCTGTGGGAGGCTCTGCCACCGGCTCCTGCATCCCTTCCCATGGGAGGGGGGCTGTGGCATGCACGTGCTGGGGTCTTTTCCCAGGGGATGCTGTCCCCTGAGCGGGCAGGGGAGCTGCTGGAAACCTTCTCCTGCTGATGTGTCTTTTATTTTAACCAGGGCTTACAAAAAGATAGAAGAGGATGACCTGAAGTTTCCACTTATCTACGGGGAAGGCAAAAAGGTGAAACACCATGGCAGGGGCTGTGCAAGGGTCACTTCCCTCCTGCCTTTCCTGTATCGGGGGGGTTTCCAGCCCATTTTTGATAGTGCTGTTGCTGCTCCAATGCCACGAGTTCTCAGCTGGGAATGGAGGTGGAGATTAAGCAGCTTAAAAATTTTTTTTGTTTTGTCGTTCCCCAGGCTCGGGTGATGGCCACGATTGGGGTCACGCGGGGCCTCGGAGACCACGACCTCAAGGTGTTCAGCTCCAACATCCACATCAAGCCTTTCCTGTCCTGTTTCCCAGAGGTGAGCCTGGCTGCCAGCTGCTCCACACCCAGGGGTTCCTGCGATGGTTGGGGTGACCAGGTCCCTGGTGTGCCCAGCACAGCGGTTTGGAGCAGTGCCAGTGCTTGCCTGGGCTCTTGGGGAGCTTCCTCTGCCCCTCACCCTCGTGTTCTTCCCCTTGCTTGCCAGGTCAGGGTTTACGACCTCACGCAGTACGAGCACTGCCCCGACGACGTTCTGGTCTTGGGCACCGATGGGCTCTGGGATGTCACCAATGACAAGGAGGTTGCTGGTGTGGTGATGGATGTGCTGACGAGCTATGAGCCCAACGACCCGTGCAGGTGAGCTGAGAGTGGGCAGGGGGATGAGCTTGTCCTTCTCTGTAGCATCTCCCTTGCTCCTTGGAGCAGTATTGTGGTCAGTAGGGGCTGGTGCTGCTGCTCTGCAGCGTGCAGTGCTCCCCTGGATCTGAGCTCAGATCTCCTCTCCCAGGGACCCTTTCCTGAAGCTCCTCCAGCTTCTTCCTTGCCAGGAACTGCAGCATCAGGGAGTCTGTGGGGTCTGGGGTCGCTGCTGAGCTGCTGTGCTCTGCCCCCAGGTACACCATGGTGGCCCAGGAGCTGGTGGTGCGGTCCAGGGGGGTGCTGAAGGAGCGGGGCTGGCGGCTGGCTAACGACAAGCTGGGCTCTGGTGATGACATCTCAGTCTTCGTGATCCCCCTGGGTGGCCCAGGAAACTACACGTGATGCCCACAGACCCCTGGGGCAGGGGGACTTGTGCCTGGATGGAGATGAGCAGGACACCGTTGCTGCCTCGGGCCATCTCTCACCACTTGTTTCCTGACCTGACTGCGAGAAATGTGGAGTCTGTCTCTGTGCCCCTGCCCAGAGCTTCCCCCTCCACCTGCTGTATCCCATCCCTGGGTGGGGTGGAAGGGCCTTTGACAGAGCAGGGACTGGAGTAGAGGGATGTTTTTTGTGCTGCCACTTTATCGATTGCTGTGAAAAGCCTAAATCCTTCCTGGCTTCTCGGTACGTCCTTTGCACCTCACCCTGAGCACGCTTGTTCCAGTGTGGTGCCGTCACTCGTACCTGGAGAAGCGTGTGCTTGCTGTTGCAATCTCCTCTCCCCCTGCTCTGTGACACTTGCACCAGACACGTGAAGCTGCTCTTGGGGCTGGGTGCTGGGGCCAGGATGGGCCGTGGCTTGGGTGAAGCCCTGCTGGCAGCTGGGTGATGCTCAGCCCAGCAGAAGCCCAGCTGTGGGTGAGCCCCACGACTGCCATCCCAGCTTTGTGCTTGCCCTCGCTGGCCCCTCACGCCCTCGTCCCAGCCACATACCTTGTCTTAGGCTCTGGTTTGGGAAATGGGGCAGTGCTTGGTCCTGGGAAGGAGGGAGCTGTTGCACTTGCTGTGGGTTCTTCCCCTACCACTCTCCATGCCTTGGATCACTGCTGCGTTTCTGCAGCCAATTATTTATTATTAACTGGGGAGCTGAGCTGGAAAATGTCTAAATCCTTCCTTGTGTGGAGTCTGGATGAATATATGTCTATATTTTTGAGTGGTTCTGAGTTGGCCACTGCTGAGCAGCACTTGCACACTGAGCAGCCCTATTCAGCCGAGCTTAACAGCTTAAACGTGCTGCCTGGATCTGCTTAGCTGAGGGCTGGGAACCTGCAATAAAAGCAGCTTGGTTGTGACTGGAATGGGGGGGTGGACGTGGGCATGACAACTCCTTCCTTTTCCTTAATAACCGGGTGCTGAGCAGAGCTGTAGCAGCGGTTGGTCTCCACACAGGATCTTACTTTGCATCGCACGTACCTCTGACACGGAGGATGCAGCTCCTGGGCCTCTGCAGAGCGTTGCATCCTCCCGGAACACGAGGGATGGTCCCGTCCTGGCAGTGTGGCGGTGGGGGGAGCTGGGCTGTGGTCCCTCGCTTGGGAAAGGCTCTGTCGCTGGGTGCAGCCAGCTCTTGTCAAGTGTCACCTTGGTGAATGCTGTTTGTCTGTTGTAATCAGCAGGATGTAAATAAACTGGGTGCGCTTAATGGGAAGGGAAAGTTATCCAGCAAAAGAGATTTTAACCTGTCGACATCTTCTGTGCTGGAGGGAGCAGGGAGTGACACTGGGGCTGGGAGCCTGTCCTGGCATAGCACTGTGTGTTTAAATAAAGGTTTTGCCACTTGCAATCCCACTTCAAAGCCCTCCTTGCAGAGCTCCTGCAAAGACGACTTACCTGAAAGCCAATTAGCCCTGATTAATTTACGTAGGCAGGCTTGGTGCGCGCAGGCCCAGGCAGAGCCATGTGAGCTGCTGTCCCTGTGCCCTTGGCGCTGGTGGACCCTGTGGGGATCCCTCGGGTGCCCACGGGGAGAGGGAACGGCTGGGGGGCTGCTGGCTGGGTTTGTGTGGGGCTGGCGATGGCCACCCGGTCAGGGAAAGGGCTGT